TCCAACTCGCCCGCACCAGTCAAGAGGAAGAGGATGTTGGGGTTGGGCACCGACTCTGGGGCAGCATACAAAGTTCCGAACATCCTTGCAAGCGCCAGCAGCACCAGGGCACCACTGCCATTGTCTGAGCTGCCCACTGCAAGCCCTGGTGCTGCAGCAAAGGTGTCGTAATGCGCAGTGATGGCGATTGTGGGGGCGTTGCTTCGTGCAGCCCTGATTCCCTATAACGCAAGCACACTTCTGCACTGATTACATATACTACGATTCAATTGCACATATTTGTCGATGTCACCACAAACAGGTAGGCATGAAGTAGTCACAACTCTGAAACAATGCCGCTCTTTACAGTCGATGGCATCTGGCAACTTCTGCTACTGACAGGACACACAGGATGGTAAACTGGGCAGGTCGCAGCCCTCTACAAGGATGGCAGCAGCAGTGTGGTGTCAGAGGTACACAATGCACTGCTCTGTGATGTCATGCTCTGTGCTTACCTCTGCACCAGAAAGCATACCATATAGGTTTGTCACTTGAGGGTTCTTGATTGGGTTGGCTTCAGCCCTGTGCAAGTGAAAGAGTCAAGCAAGGACAGGACCACATCTAAACTACAGTCCCCAGAGCCTGGGCCAAGCATCCAGAATACAGATAACATGGACACTAAAACAATGTGTAACACTATAAAGCGCAAGGGAGGGGGGGATTGGCTGGTGTCTGCACATAACATAGGGCTTCAAAGCCAGCCTGCTGCCGATGGAGTGCAACCTATAAAGAAAGGCCAAATTAGAGCAACATCGGGTCTGCAGGCTGGTTTTGGACTGGCATAAGCCCAAGCTTCTAGCACTGTATGCACTGCTGCATGCCTATATCCACCAGGTCCTACCCTTTTCCCTTGATGACGAGGAGATAACCCCCTGTAGCAGCAGTTGGGGCAGTACCACCGGTGAGTGTTGCTTTGATGTCTTTGACCTGAGATGGGCAGGGACGTGTTATTAGGCACATGCTGGTGCGTGGACAGACTGGTGTGCGAGTTTGTGTCCCACACACTTTAATGTCAGGCGATCAGCTGGAATGCAACCTTGATATGGCAGCACAGCATTCGCCTTGAAAATAGGTCGGCACACCAACACCTTGACAGTTACGAGGTTGCATTAGCTGAGAACTGTGAGTACCTGCAGGCTTATCCTCATGCATTTGAAGACTTGAAGCATCATCCACAGCGCGGCACAGAGTTTCAATACTCTTGTCCGCGTGGCACCGCCAAATGCACAGGATTATTATCTGTTCTGATCAGGATACTAATATGGCAAGGCCAGATTATGCAAATCCAGCCCAGAGTTAATCACACATGCACCAGTGTCAGGCAAGCATAATCACCTGTTGGTTTCCACCACTGCTATGTTGAACAGTGTGCGCTACAAGATAGCTGTCAGGCAGCCCAACTCACCACGTTTTCAAGGTCGTCATTGTCAATCACAAAGTACACTGGGGTGGCGATGGACACAGACAGAAGGAGTTCTTCGATCTGTCGGAACCTCTGAAGGTCCTCATCGTCCACTGGTCTGGTGTCCATGTCACGTGGCAAGGTGAAAATGATCCCTGCAATGCCCTTGTCCTTTGAGATGACATCTGTTGCACGACATTGGGGTTGTTTCAGGACGACCATTCCCAGCAGCAGACCAAGAGGCAATGGCAAGTTTCGCCAGCCAGCAGGGTGCCACACACCCATCAACCCACCATGTCGACAGCTGACTAGCAATGCTATTGCTCAACACCTGTTCAGACTGCACGGCACAGCAGCAGCATCGTCTTTTGCGCCTCCAAGCGAACGCGTTTAGTCCACAATAATCTGGTTCTTTGTGTGCACTGTGTGGCAGGTGCATCATGATTTTCAATAGTGCACAGGGACCCTGGCATTGTTCCCCACGAGCGCGTGCCCATTATCTTATTGACAGCAAGTTCAATGTGCAGCAGTAACGCGGGGAGGCTGCTTCAAACACGATGCTGCCCCTTGGGCAGGCCAGCCACGCCGCACAGCTGCCCACTAAGGAACACCTGCTGTTACTGCATGGTGGCCCAGGATATCCTTCAGAAACACAAGCCTCCGCACGCGCATGTGCTTCTGGACAGGCAAGACAGGGGGCATGCCGCACTAAAGCGCACATGAACAGGTCCTTTGGGGCTGCCGGCAGCAGTGCGCGGTACGACGTCGGGCAGCGAGGACGCACCTTTGACGATTTGCTCCGTAACTTGGGCAAACGGAATTATCACAATGGAGCGAAACATCTGTGCGTCGGGCGCGTAGACGGTCGCGTACTGCAGCAACAACAGAGGCGCGGTGAGGCGAACAAACACAGCGATGGCCCAAGGAGCACCGCGAGCCAGTCCCTTGGATCCAAGCGCCAAGCGCGGACTGGCGATCCGCGGTGAGACGACCAAGCCGGCGAGCCCCCACTTCACGGGGTCCGGTAGACCGCGCGGATTCCAAGATCCTCCATTGATCATCACCTCCTGTGCACCTGGTTCAGCTTGACGGACCTCGAGCCCAGGGCTGCCCCGTCGACGTCCATCTGCACCAGCCTGTACGCGTCCATCACCGAGGCCGCCTCCGCGCCGGACAGCATGAACAGCAGCACCACGATCACGGAGGGGTCCTGCAGCACCGACTGCAGCAGGCACCTCTCGCCCAGCATGGCGCTCGATGTGACCGGGTGAAACGGCGGCGGGGGGGCCCTTTGCCGATCCGGGCCGGCCGTCGGCCTGCGGGAATGGCTGGGCGCGACCGAGGCCACAAATGCACCGCCCAGGGTGGGCCGGAGCAGACGCGCCCGACCGCCGGCTGGGGGCACCGACGCCGGCGAGGAGGGTGCGCCCTCGCAACGGCCCGGATCCGCCTACTGAGGGTTTGACAACTGTTGGGAGCAGACGCAAAGTACAGTGCAGCGTTGTTTGTTCAGCCCTTGGGAGAGACGTGTTGCCGCTTTTTTTGTCTTGGGTTGCATTTAAACATTTAAACGCAAATTAAATTTCATTCGCTGAAGCTGAGAGACTATTTTTGTGTCAGACTGGTGGCGACTGTGGGGTTGAGTTTAACGAATTGGGTGCGCAGACCTTGACGTTTGGCATGGTTGCAATCGTCCCTTTTTGGGCTTGACGGCATCCACAGATCTTGGAGCATCAGAAAAGGTGAAAGGATCCTTGTATTTGAACGACTCGTCGTGTGAAGTGTTGCCTCCCGGCTTTTTGCTTTGGGGCGGTTTTGAATAGCTTTCCAAACAGGTCCACGCACTCCACGGTCCCTAAACAGTAGTTTAGGGCCTCGCCCGTTTCATTTTCCTGGGCCAGTCAACAGAAAACGATTTTCTTTCAGAGAAATGCCGGGCGAAAAGGTTAACCAAGCGACGAAAAACTTCTCCAATATTTGCCGAAGGGTTAAATAGCCTGCGGTACTCTGTACTTTGCGTCGGGGCTCAATGCGCCGCTCATCACAAAAGCAAGGACGCAGGTAATGCGTACTGCGCGAACCGCACCCGTGGGGGCCGCAGCTTAAGTTAACAAGCGCCGGGTTTCTGTCGCCCCCTGCAGCCCTATAATGGGGTCCTGGGCTTTCTAAACGGGGTGGTTACTACCCACCCACGTACCAACCTACCTGCTGGGTAGGTACCCTAATGAACTCTTAGGAAATCAGGAAACCAATACACACACATGCTACTTGTACCCACCAACAAGTATTGCGCCCCGGTCGTTGTTCGGCGCTGGTGGTTGGCCGGCTCGGCGTTGCGGCGGCGATGGCGCTCGCGCCTCCTGGGCCGTCGCCGGCCGCGCCCTACGGCAGCGACGGCTCCCTGAGCGCCGACGAGCCCGACTTCATCCCCCTGCCCGACTCGCCCGCTTCCCCCCCGCCGGACGTCAGCGCGCCGCGCCGCGACGTCTCCTGCCGGCTGGACGTTCGCGGGCCGGACGGGCGAGGCCCAGGGATCAATGCAAGCCGCCCACAGCAGCAGGCATCCGGTCAGGGGATCCCCGAGAGCGTTGTCGTTGGGCGGCATCCCTGCGCTTTGTCACCCGCAGCCCGTTGTGGCGATGTGGAAGCCTTGCCTGCAGGCGCGGCGGGGATGAGCGCGCCAGTTTGCGGCGACGTGGGGGCGCAGGTGACGCAGGGTCAGTTTTCCGGCCTGCCCGCCGCGAATGCGGTCGGCGTGATGGGGTGCCAGCCCCTGGTGCCCGGGGTGGGGTACCTGTGCGCGCCCGGCAGCCTGGTGCTGGTGCCAGCGGGGCAGGGGATGGGACCCGGGCTGCAGGCGGCGGCCGCGGGGCAGGCGCCTCTGGGGGGATGCCAGGTCTCGGGGTGGCCGCTGCGGCTGGTGGGGGCTCCGGTGTGCGCGAACCACATCGTGGTGTCGGCGGTTCCGGTCGGCGACGGACCGGCCGGCGGACAGCTGCAGGCGCTCGCGGCGGAAGCCAGGTGGGTGCCCCACGAGAACCGAGATCTCAAGCTGTAGGCTGTACTCCAGCTGGTATCCTTCACTTGTTGTTCGAATCCGAAAATCAGAATCCAATTTTGGAGGGTTAGGGTGTGAGCCCACTCCTGATAGAAAGGGCGTGGACCTGTCGCCACATCGCTGGAAATTGCATAGGGATGTGAGGTTTCTTACACTGATGCGAGCGATGCCTGTGCTGTGCGCCACGACTTCTTGTGACTTGGTGAGTGCAGCCACACAGCAAGGGAGCCCGGCCAGAGGCTTACACTCGACGTCTCACATTCAGGCAACCTCAAGAGGAAGATGTGGCCCGTGTGGCGTCCATTAAATCGCCAGCTTCGCTGGACCCTTTGACCCAAGGAGTGGACATGCGGTGGGTGTAAGGAAGCATATCAGGCTGTGTGGAAGTCAAGCCAACAAGGGTGTCGGATGACCACCCTCCAAAGAGGAAAGTCGTGGTTATCGCACAGAGCACTGTCTGGGCAGATGCAATTTGCAGTTGAATAAGAGATTTGTGGCAAATCCCTCTCAAAGCTGTTTCCTTTCTTTCCGGTATTCCACAGGGGAAGGAACCAGCAGCTATTTGGCTGCCATCATCCCCAAGTTTGCAACCAGGGTTTCACTGTTGAGAGGTGAGCGTTCCTCTTGCAGCTTGTTGGCAGCCGCTGGTCGATTTCGCTGTTTCTGCCGATGCCAAATCTTCCCCAGTGGAGTGCTCACATTGGCACTCGTCCTGCCCATCAACTTGCAGATCACCCTCAACTGCAGGGAACGCTTGGTGTGGCAACCATCAGCATGGAGCATGGCGGAAACGACCTAAGTGAGTGTGTCACCCATATCCCTTTCCAATCCCAGAGCACCTGCAGCCCAGCTCTTGGTGACCATTGCATCAAAGAATGCCATTTTGCAGGTCTGTACATTTGTGCGAGCTATTCTGCCGTGTGCCAAGGGCAGGGTGTTACAGGCGCTCAGAGAATGAGACTCCAGCACCATGGAGCTCTGGGGCCATCGCACGGGAACCAAACATGCTCGCTGTGCAGTGCATCAAGCTGCATGGGAGCCATGGAGACGTCTCCTGGCATGTGACCTCGTGAAGTGGGCAGGGGACGTGAAACACAGCCCACACTTCGATCAAATCCCAACACGTGAAAAGTTGCAGTGCTGCACACCCGACTGTTGTAACATCCGAGTCCACATCACATCAAGGGAGTCCACTTCCCCCCACCTGCGCCTCACTAGTTCATTCGTCCCTGTCGGTGACGCTGTGCTGCAATGGGCATTCAAGTCTGAACAGTATCAGTCGCACACCACTGGGCCTCACAGGCGCCCGCCGTGTGCATCTGCGCCAACTGTCACAGGCCTTGGGCCTGCGCCCTTCTTCTGCCGTCGACAATGAGGGACGTTTTACGGCGAAGACGCACCTCTTTGTGGACTTAACTTGGCGCAACGTTCCTGACAGAGCGGCCGCACCTTCGTCCCAACTCTATATAACATTGCAAACAGCTGACCAACAATAACCGGGGCCGTGTGCACAGCTTGAGAGCCTCGGAGCTAAGCTCATCTGTGTTCAGGGATTTTCATACCAGTACATCAAAGACTGGGAATCTGGGCTCCCTCATAACAGTATACAAGCTGGTGCCAATGCCCGAGATTCTTGCGATAATTCGCAATGACTCTTGCGATGTGCATGAAAGCTCCCGAATTCGTGGCATATGGGATCGGCATTGTTCTCAAACCGATTTCTGGAGGCTGGATGCGATAAAGTATTGGAGGCCAGGATCGTTGCGAGCCCAATGGGCTCAGTGGTGACAGCGGCAGCAGCGTGCTGAAGTGCGTTAAGCGGCTTACGAGGTACTGAGTACCCTGTGCGAGCAAAATGCTTGAGGCAGGTGACAGTGTGCATCATTGTCTGGATGCCACAGGATTGCCCAGAGGGGCATGAACACGCTGGGAGTGTGCTGTCGAGGCAGCCTGACTAGCGCATGGCCACAGCATTCACGAGGCCATGCTGCAAACTGCTACTAGTATGCACAATGTACAAGTATGCACGTGCGCGTACAACCTCGCCCTGCGGGGTGGCATCGTTGTCAGGGACTCAGCGACCAGAGGCACCTGATGTTGTGCCCTGTGGTTTTCAAGCAGGACTAGGGCTCGGGAGCCTGAGGGGAGGTGGGAGCATGACAAATTTGAAGAACTGGAGCACGACTGGCGGCTGAAAGACCGAGCGAGGGAGTTGCGTGCAAGCCGCGTGCGTGCAGCGTTGGTGAGCAACACGGGGACATTTGTGAGGGGTTTGGGCACCTGGCCGCTCGATGGTGTGGGAGGGCACCATTGGCAGGACACTGCTCATCACAATCGATTGCTCAAACAAGGCGTGCTGCGTGGCGCGGTACAAACTCTCACCAATCGTCTTCGTTCCGCCTAGAATGACGTGCACCCTGGCGCTTGAAGCAAACAGAAAATCGCGGGTCACTAGCTTGTTCCACAGTAGTATGTGGAGCAGGGCGCACAAGACGGTTGCCATGGCGGCATAGAGCGTTACTGTGCTCTGGCTCTGCACAGTGCATACGCTGTTCGGCCACGGTCTGTAATTCGTACCCCAATTCAACCGGAATGGTCCCAAGCGGCGACCGGTGCACCACCGCGCTAGACCAGTACTGTGATCTGATAACCCCCCCTCTCTGTTTCCCAGGCCCGTCGCGAGCGGTCCATCCCCAAGGGCAGTGTGGCGCTGCCAGTCCGGCCCACACCACTGGCGCCCCGTTCGGACAGGGGTGTCGCAAAGAAATTCAAAAAGCGCAAACACCAGTACACAACATTTGACGGTGTCCCACTGCGAATGAGCAAATTGGCATTGGGCGAGAAACCCAAGGGACACAGGTGACACGAGCAAGAGACATCACTGGCGCGGAATGCGCGTCAGTTGTCGCTGCCCGGGTTGGAGACACCAACGTACCCTGCACCAATGCCATTCGTTCAAAGATTTACACAGTTTAAGGCCACCTACCGCACGATGTTCAGTTGCTGAAATTAACGCTGTTCCCAGACCCTGCAGATCAATGCGAGCCACGCACCTGGCAGATAACGTGGATTGTGGCACCTAGGCGAGGGTGTAGCAATAACGGCGCCCCGAGAAGTCGCGCGCCATTTTGTTTACGATGTTTCATTTGCTTGCTTTTGTCCTCCATAGGCTTGCCACGGCCAACATTGACGCGGTAAACGAAAGGAACGCCATTTTGTGCGACAGAATGGATGCCCTGTATGCCTTCTTGGGGAAATGCGAGTCCATCATAATGGAGATCAGAGCCAGCGGGTCTCTGACTATCGTGGCCAGGAGGGCGCTCGACAGACTGCGGCATTGGAAGTATGACATGAAGCTGGCTGAGCGATGCAGATCAGTGCCAATCATGCGCCAGTGGTGTCTTGCAGATGTCGATATTTCGGCGCAAGTGGCAGAGAAAGCGATTTCAATCTGGTGTCTCGAGGCATGCCTGGATGTTATCCAGACACGTCCGCCGCCGTGTGGTTCACCTCGTAATGAGTTGGTGCTACTGCAGGTCTGACCTGCCCACCAGAAGCACGGCGGACGAAAGCAAGCCCACTTTGCGTGAGAGATTGCTGGCCATGCACGGCTTCCTGGGACACTGCGAGGCCATTGCGAGAAACATCAAGGAAAGCGGAGAGCTGACGAGCAGATCCAGACAGGCGTTCGACAAAATGCAGCGCTGGAAATTTGACATGAAATGGGCCGAGCAGGTCATGTTGGACCCCGCAAGCAGGTGCGCCTGTGTACCAAGGGTTACTTTACTATACGCAAGGGTTTAGTATTTTCCGGTACAAGGTGCCAGCCAGCTTGCTCGAGTTCCTGAGCCGCGTGGTGCCGACGTGCATTGATTTCGCACAATGGGGAAAATGCGGCTGCAGGGTGCAGAAAGCGACACTAAAGTCCGCGGCTTGCGCGGCGACTGGCTGTCAGCGTCGGCTGTGAAGTGCTGTGCGACACAGCCCAAGTCACTTCTCCAGCCCCCTGAGACTGCCTTTCGAATCATTATCGAAATGTGGTTTTCGTGTGAAAGGTTGCCGAAGGAGCATGGAGACAAGGATGACTGGAAGGCGGCCAAGCGGTGCAAAGGTCGGGCGCAACCCGTGGTAAAGGTCAAGGAAGAGCCCGGGAACTAGTGGCATTGCGCACCCTCTGGACACTGTGCATGTGGCACTGCTCCATTGCAGCAGCAAATGAGAGCTAGCGGACATGTGTGCTTCGTCCCTTGGGGAGAGATTCATCTTTGGAGGGGTATGTTGATGGCAAGCAGGGCTGGAGCTACGGCTCAGCGCTCGTGAGCCCCCGTATAGACACCTGGGGGGATGGGCCGACTGGAAGGGGGGGAGTGCGGGAACGAAAGGAGCAGTGGCAGCGTTCTAAGTCGTGGAACAATTAGCGAGTTCACGGGGGGTTTGAGATGATATTTGCGACGGGATACCCCCCCCCCCCCACCGAACTGTTGAAATGAACCCACAATGCAACACAAAACCTGTAAGAATCCATTAAGATGTTACACGTGCATCGGTGGAGGCGCACTGATGAATGCTGTCTGCAGATGGGCGTAATAATGAATTAACGAAAATTCCAATGATGCACATCAGCCCAATTTCGGGACAATGCAGACCTCCGCGGCGGCAGCATGAATCGCACTAGATCGCCTTCCATGCACATGCGCAGATGTGATACTCGCACGTACGGCGCCGCTGAGCTGCGAACTTGCTCCTCAAGGGGCGCGTTTGTAGGATCCCGTATGTAATGTAGCAAAACAGAATCGGCTCTCGCCATGCAGTTGGGTCACCGGCATTGAAAAGAGCATAATCCAACCTAACAAGGTGAAGGGGAGAAGCTGAGCGGAATGTCCAATTGAAACAAGCGAAAACAAAATTCAAATGGTGTCTTTCCAAAGAACACAAATCAAACAAACTCAGTTGAGCTATGCGCAATTGAGTCAAACCGAACTGTATAAATGGTTGATTACCATCATCCACAGCTAGTGCTACGGTGTGTTCTATTCTGTGGCCATCACTACAACACAGCATCACAAGGCGAGGTCCAACGATCAATGACCATGATAGTATACACATTTCGTGCACACTGCGAGGCAAGTCCCACGTAATGCTCATCACTCATCGCATGAACTCTGGTAGTTTACATATGGTTGAATGCGCGTAAGAAGACCTGGAGATGGAGTCGATAGACCTGCACCTGCAAGCCTACACGTGCGAACGTACACTCACTGACGCCGGACAGCACATTGTGCCCTGTGAGTCGACCAATGCCCATGCCAGAGTTGCCCGCCTGGTCGTCATCGCGGATGGCAGTGTCACAGTCATTCCTAGCGAGCCACCACTGAATGCTACCGACAAGAAATGATAGCCCGCAGGAGGGACAACGAACAAAGGCATTGATGTGATCCCTTCATCGTGATCTTGTTGCGATTAAGTGTGTTTCGTGCATTCCGCGCTCTGCTGCCACACTTCCAAACACCCCTGCCACCAACGCAGCCTCCAGTAGAGGTAGTGCTGCCACCAGCGACGGCTGTTGGACGGCGTTGACATTCTCAGTTGCCATCGTCTCAGCGCACGCTCTTCGTGCTGTCGCCACCAATGCGGTGACACATGTGTGCCTGGGATATGCACAAAGTCAGACTATCACCCTCACAGCGCATCAGAAACATCAATCAACTCCTCGACGTTCCACCGGGCCGTCTCTCTCCTAATAGGATATGTGCGTGCGTGTATACATCCAACACCCTGTCCTTCCCACGAAAACTACTGTTTCCAAGATCCACAGATGCATCCACAGCTCCTTGCATGTCGCCTTGCGTGTTTTTCAACGGCCACACGCACCCCAAAGTGTGTGCTGCCGACGAGTGGTTGACTGACAAATATATGGCCATGATATTAACGTTTTTGTTGAAGAAGGCGCTTCAGATCGTGAGCAGGAGGCCAATCAATTTAATACGAGCATGCTGTGTTGTGATGCATTGACGACCCTCCACCCCCGGAGGCGTAAAGTATAAGTACCTGTGCGTCTTGGTGTGAATTTGAGTCTGCATCAGACTTAAATATCCGCACCTACCTCCATTCACAGGCCTCCCTCTCCACTTCGCTGCCTGGCGTCGTTATGTGGTTCAATAGTGGTTGATGGATGCAGATGAAGCTGGCGCACCATTCCCGTATCGCAAGGGATGACAATAAACGGTACAAGGGAAGCCGAACCTCCACAATTGGCGGCTGCAGGAGATCCCAGAAAACTTCACCTGGAGAAGCGACCCTGCCGATAGCTGCAGCAGCACCATGGATGCTCACCTCCAGCTGCTGTTCACACTGGGACAGAAGAGCAGGAAAATTGTGAGGTGCTCTCTAAAGAAATCCAAAAAGACAAGATGCATTTGTTAGTAGACAAAACATCAGATCCAAGACACCAAAAACATCCTTTGGCATCCGCAGCGAAACAGGTCAGCCACCGCATTTTCCAAAATATAGCATGCTCCAAGTTTGCACAAATGCAACAGTTGCAACGTTACTAGAAACCCTTTGGAACCTGGAGCAGCCATTTCAAGCGCAGTTCATCAGCAGAGGAGCAGCCCAACCAGTGAAGAGTCATCCTCTTCAAGATTATGCTTTTCCAGCAGCCCTACTTCCAGCTACAACATGGCCTTATTATGCAACAGGCTGAGCTTCTCAGTGTTGTCCACAATAGCACAGCTGAACTGCCCAGCCTGTGGGTCATTCCTTGCATGCCACATTTTTCACATAACGCACAAATCTGGAGCAAGGCCCAAAGAGGCAGGCACCAATAATGGAGCCATTGCCCTCTTGTGTGCAGGCTTTTGCTGCATGCTTCTGGGGCTCTTGAAGAATTGGACCGCTGGTGCATACCTAAGGTGGTTTCCTTTTGCAATTGGATATCTGCTCAGGAGGCAGCTGCCCATCGTATGAAATGCATTCCTCTTAAGTAAACTGACAACCCACCTCAGCAGATAGGAGGGCGGTCTCTTGCTGATCTCCAGCTTTTATGCGCTCTGCTCCCACGATGGTAGCCAGGGCATGCAGGGCAGAGATCCTGACTTGCTTTGGGGTCCTTGGTGACAGAGCGGTGTCCAACACAAGGGCCAGCACACCACATGCATTTGCCACAACAATCTCAGCGCCAGGCCGCCGCACTCCCAGCTGTCCAATAGCATCAAACACTGTGGATGCCAACTGGAAAACAATGGGCACATAGGGCACAGTCATTGATCTATTGGCAGTGCATAATTGTGTTAGCCAGTGAGTCCGATCAGTTCAGGGCAGGAAATGTCATCAAAGTGCACTTTAGTCTGTTTGCAAGTTGGCTGTAGGTTGCCAATGTGTCAACGCCAGTTGAGCAAGCACTATCCACTCCAAGGTCCACAGCCGGTACTGCAAATAGCGCAGTGCGGGTTTGCAGCCCACAGGCAGGCTATTGCAACATAGAAATATGGAAACAAAATGTTTGCGGCGGGGACATGCCACTGCACTTTAAGAATGCACACTTCCAGGTGGGGTGGCACGTCACTCACTTTCGGAGCTGGGAACTACAGCAAATTTCAGGCAACCAAACACTGAGCAAAACCCACCAAACTGTGTGGAGCTGTGCAGAATCTTACAAAATTCAGTCATGTGTCCAGAATTTCTTACGATTCCACAACCGCTTCTGGCGATGGTCACGGGCAGTTTCCCCACAATTCTGGGAATTGTGGCAGGTGACGTTCACAACTGCATTACCTCAGGGTCACATTTCCAAACTGCAGCCTGGCACCAACATCACCAACACCAGTCACATGCCCTCCTGCTTACTGCTGTGAATGTGTGGACTGGCACAACATTCCCCTGGTCACGCCCAACACCCAATTTGTTGTATTGCGCCAAGTTGAGTGCCATGGAATATTATCGCTTCACACATGTCTCTCAATGAGTATGGCTGCACTACCAATGGAGACCCTTCTCCAGCACATACACATGAAACAGAATCAGAAATGCTAAAGTGGGTTTGGTATTGAGTTTTCAAAAGCTTGTAACCAGAAACATGTCGCTGACACTGTGTGGAACATTCTATTCTTTCGGTTCTTGTCGCTTGAAAATGCGGGTGTTGGTTGGGACTTCAAAGTCCTTTCTTGAGAGGTAGTCATACATTGCTATAATCTACATGTGTCTCACTATCACCATTTCTGCAGAAATACACCACCACAATACTTTGCCAAGTTGTCTGTAAGTACACACCAGTACATTCCTTCTACTATCTTTTGCAAGGCTATTCCTGAGGATTTTGGTGTGATCCCCTGGAACATGTGCGAGTGGCTGTACCTCCACATCTGAGTCGTCCCTCTCCAAGATGGTCATTGCCTCTTGCAAAAATGCAGAGCACAATGCTTCCCCTGCAGTGCACACCAGCATTCAAGGCCACAGCTTGCCATGCACTTCTTATTGTGTGTAAAACTTCTCAGTTGTGACAACACACAGATTGAGCATGGCCTGGCATGACTGGCTGAGGCTGGCACCAGCCAACAGGTATAGGGCAAATTTCAGTCCTACTTCAGTGTAACTTCATTGGCACCGCTAGCTCTATTCTTCGCTGTGTCTGGTGAAGAACCGACAGCAAACCCTTGCCATCTCGGAACATAAATGAAAGAGCTGACACCTAAGGTGATGAGCATGAAGTCTCAACTAGCATTCACAGAGCTGAAACATTGTTAAATGAGTAAAAGGGCAGCTTTTGTCCTGGCTTTTTGACAATTACATTTAATGCAAGTTCAACCTATGTTGCATTCACAACAGCCACTATGGCAGCAACACTGATTATGGCTTGCCAGTACTGAGTTCAGATCATATGACCCCACATTGCTTTGCAAAACATGAGCACTCACCCCCCCCCCCACCCCCACCACCCCACCACCCACCACCCACCACCACCAACCCACCAACCCACCAACCCACCAACCCACACACACGCACACACAACTACACGCAAAATGCATTCAAATAGGAATTGCTCACATCGTCAGCCAGGGACCATGCTCTGCCGCGCTCACCTGCCTCTGCAGCCAGTCCCAGGACATGCCCTGCCACGCGGATTGCCCCAGTTATGAGTACAGTGTCCCTGCTGTCATGCAGCAGTCGCACAAAACGAGGACCTATTGCCTGCAACACACTGCTCCAGAACGCAGGGCTCACCACAGCGCCCTGCCTGTTGCCTGCCAATTCCTGAAACAAACTCCAGGCAGCCAGGCAGGAAAGTGGATCATCGTAGTGGTCAAGCTCTGCCAGCAGTGGATCAAGGAAACCTGCACACAACCAATGCAACAACTGCAAACACAGTAACAGGGTACAACACAATGGAAACACGCTGAAACCACAGATGCCATCTTGGCAAGATAAATCTGCTGGGAGAAGTGCTAACTGTGGTGGTCCATACACTGTCGCTGAACTTGTCTCAGCCTGCCGTTGATGTACTTCATAGCATTTCAACAGGTTAGATGCCTTGGTAGATAAATGTGATTTGATGCCCAGCTTATCACCAGAGCTCGCAGAGGGACCATTCCGTGCAGAACGGTGGCATGCGGAGAGACTAAGTTTGGCACAGAGATTGTGGCCACGTGTTTGCTGTTGATACCTGGATACTAGCAAACTCACCCATAAGGGCGGTCCTCAAAGTCTCCAGCAAGATTTTCTTGCTAAACTCGCTACTCAAAAACCGAATGTGGATCTGACATGCGTAGGAAACTGCTTTTGCCTTCTGCGGACTATGTCAAGACAGAATCATCTTGTGATCTTCAACATCCATCCAATGAAATGAGCAACATCACAACAGAGCTGTGCCTAATGGTGATTGCCTCACTGTGCAGAAGTCTCACTGTGATTGGCAGTCAAAGCCTAAACCATGTGCCCTTCTCAACACTAATTGCACTCCTCCACTTCGGTTGCAACAGAGTTTTGGCTTCCATTAGCAATGGGGCTAAACATCCACAAACACATGTGCGAGCAATGTCTGAAAAGGGGAGCAAAACTACGATTTGATCTACAACACTTTCCTTCAATCCAAGCTCACCAGCAGAGTCCACCACTTGCTGCCCCTCTTGAGACTGGCCTGCGATCATCAGCACTAGTTCCAATGCCCTGATTCGAACAACATCGCTGTGTGAAGAGACAATTTCCCTCAACTGACTGGAAGTTGATCCACTCTGAAACAGAGCGCTTTGCCACTTTGAAAACAGCTCTCTGAACCCAAGGGCTGAGGCAGATGCAACCTCCATGTCATCATCCTGCAGAGCTGGGACAAGCAAGCAGTCAGGTTTTGGCCGCAGCTTGGCAGACACTAAGCCAGCACTGCTGAGGTGAGGATATAGAAATGGTGCTGCAGGGCCTGTGCATGCCAATTATTCAGCAGAAATTCTGTTGCAGTAGGCAAGTGGGGCATGCATCGTCAGATTCATCACGTTGTCGAATCCTGGTAGGTGCATGAAATACACAATTTGTGCTGCATTCAATGGGATACGTTAGGGTGCTGGGCACCGAAATGTGCTCAACAGACCAGTGAGCACGTCTGCGAATTGCACCATCCATTCTTTGTAACTTCCAGTTGGCAATGACAGCAAACAGTCACCTGAATCGCAACAAGCAATGCTTCTGCCAGTCGTTGGGCTGTCTGAGCATCCAGGTCCACGCCCATTATCCTAACAATCTGCCTTGCTCCCAGCCGGCGGATTGCACTGTGACTTGCTGTCAGAGCCTTTGCCACGTATCCAGGAGTTGCAGACAACAGTGACATGCCTGGGATCAAACCACGGAAACGACAGCATGAGAAGAGCGTGAACAGCATGAAAGAGCATGAAGAACACGAAAAGAGCCTTGATCAGCAGGATTCGTGCATTCAATGCAAAGGTGGATTGGAGGATTGAAACCAACCAATTCCCTGGTCCAATACGAACTGAGGCAGACCATTAGGCACAAGTTTTGCACCCACCGTGACCCGTTTCGAAAACCATCTCAAGAGCCTTGCAGAGGATTTCCAGGTCATCGCCCGCAAGATCACCAGAACCAATCGCACTGCAGGAACAGAAGCCTGGACAATGTCAAACTCGGCCATCCCTCCCGAGCACGACGCCAGACGCGCGGTGGGCATGACCTGGCCACGCGATCGGCGCCTCGAACGCTGCCCGCCGCTCGTCCAGGCGTCTGGCCTGCCGGCGCCACCGTGGACAAAGGCGCACAGGCGAGAGACATTCCCAAAGGAGGCATGCCATTACCTGATGCAGACGCCCAGCGGAAAGCGGGACAAGAAGTCCGCCACAGCTTCGTCGGGCAGCGGCCTGCCCGCCTCCACCAGTCGCGCGCTGGCGCCGCCGATGTCGCCCATGGCTACCCGCGCTGCCTCTGCGGCCAAACCAGCCCAAAAAATTCGCCCCTGCAAAACATCGCAGGCGACCGCGTGGGCCACCTTTTTTGCAGGCACTTGGCAGCTTCGAGGTAGTGACATTAGGGAATTGCTTCACCGCAAGCATGCCACACAGTCTCACCCCAACAGCAGGAAGCGCAGGTGTGGGGACCGCCAGTAGGACCCCACGGAAGCCCCCCACCCCGCCCCGCACGCGCACCTGCCCCAAGTCGCCCTAACTCCCTCTTTGAGCACCTGCCGCCTTGCTCAGATCCTCTGGGAGGCCAAATCGTAGGGCCGCGTGTCCCAAGCCGGGCGGCCGTGGCGTTCGCTGCCGTGCGATGTATGCGGACTTCAAGGGCAAGGCGATCGGTGAGCCGACCCCGTGGGCTGGAGGCGGACGGAAATGTTGGATGCCTTGGAATCCCGGCTGACGGGCGCTGTGGCTGGGCGGTGCGCGCAGAGTTCGCGAAGGTAGCGGTGCAGGAGGACGAGGCGGGGAACTTCGAGAAGGCGATCAACCACTACCTGAACGCGCTCGACTACTTCAAGACGCACCTGAAGTACGAGAAGAACGAGAGCTCAAGGCAGGCCATCACTGCCAAGGTGGAACGCGCGGCCTCTGGCCCCCCTTGATGTGCTGGCTGGATGCCGAATAGCCTGGGTGGCGGTGCCGCACATGGCAATCGGTCCCAATACTCTGGCTTGCCAATGCTGGTCCCCGGCGTACGCATTTTCTTATTCTTTGTACAGCACAATGTTGCGGGCGTTGTCTGTCTCGGGAGACTTGTGCGCGCCATTTCCACCTCATCGCACCAAAAGTCTCGAGAACTGTTGCTGAGGTGGGGCAGTAGCAATGGCGTTCTGCTTCCTTCCCTTTGGGAATCGTGAGCCGGATCCGGGGCGTCAGGTGCACTGAAGTGGATGGGCACGTGGCCTGCAGTTCAAGGAGTACTTGGCAAGGGCGGAGTACCTCAAGGCACAGCTAGCCAGGCAGGTTGCGGAGCCCGCATCAGCACCACCAGGGGATGCGGTGCAGAAGCCCAAGGCCAAGAACGACAAGGAAGATGTGAGGGGTGTGAATCGGCTTGGAAAAGGCTGCGGGAACTGCCGTGTGCTCTTGGGGGACTGCTCTCCATTGTTTCGTTATCTGTATGCATTGGTCTGCCTCCCAGCCAGAGGTTTGTAAGCATGGCAGCAGGCGAGACAATGTGCGTTTTGTGGATCTGCAGGAGAAGAAGAGCAGGGAGGAAAATATAGATGGCGCGATTGTGGCTGACAAACCCGACGTCAAGGTACGTGCAGTGGCCAGGATCCAGACATGCCTGAACTTGTGCCGATGACATGTTGATGAGCTCGTTCATAACGCAATCTCAGTGCACGCCCCATCAAGTTGATTAATGCATCCTTTGTTTCCTGTCAAAGTTTACTCGTTGGATAGGGCAGTCTTGCTTTCACAACATGTCACTGTTCTGGAATAAAATGCGGTGAGACCTGTGTGTCACAACTTCTTCATCAAGTTCCTTGTCTTATATTCATCTGTGTGCTTGATGTTGGTACAGTGGGGCGATGTGGCTGGGCTAGAAGGTGCCAAGGAAGCCCTGAAAGAGGCGGTGATTCTACCTGTCAAATTTCCACAATTCTTCACTGGTGGGCCACTCTTCAGCACGAACAGTGCTGGAGATGATGTGGGGTCAGATGCTCACATACCGTACTACTACGGAGGGGCGCAGGATGCCACGTGTGCGATATATTACCCGTCCCGAGACTAAAAACTCCTTGTTGTGCCACTCTCAGGAAAGAGGAAACCATGGAGTGGACTACTGTTGTATGGACCACCTGGGACTGGTAAATCACACTTGGCTAAGGTAAGTAGAAGAATTCATGCGCTTTCCAGTCTGGAAGTCCTTTTCTTGCACTGTCTGATCTAATGTGGTATGTCTTTGGCACAGGCGGTGGCCACAGAGGCAGATTCGACCTTTTTCAGTGTGTCATCTGCAGATCTGGTGGGGAAAGAAGAGGCTTGCATCATTACTTGGAAGTCGACTGAGTGCTCACTTGTCCCGCTTGCCAAACATCATCAAAGCCCTGTGCCCAGACTGGCAATGCATGAGCCTTGAAAACCAGTGATGTTGAAGGAAGTTTTAGTGCCTCGAATCCCAATATCTTGTGTAATGTCAGTTCTTGCTACTACTTTTCGAAATGGACTTGATGAGTTATTCTGTCAATAGATTTGGATGCCCTGGTTGATATTAGGTTGCGGTGGATCTTGATTATGCTAGTCATCACCACACAACACAACATGCACAGCCTTATCAAAAATTTCTCTGACCAATTCCATAATGGCCCTCAATTGCCCCCAATGTTGTGTTGGCCTTATTCCAGTATGTCCCAACCCATTTCCCTAATATTTAGGAAGAAAATTGTTGTAAACAACAAACAGGCACCACTGCACCCATTCAAGAGTTTCAGCATTATTGTCATACTCTTTGAGGACGATGTGTTCCATTGTGTTGAATCATGCTTCCAGAATTCTCGTTTTCAACGATTGGCAGTGTTCCAGTCAGTCTAAGTGGTCCTGTTGTTGCTGCCAGTATGCACAGCCTTCCAAACCTTGGCACTCCCCTGGGTAGATGTTCCTGCACTGATAAAGGTGTCTCTTGGCCTTGGGCCACAACCTTGGTTCTTGCGAACTCCCCAAGATTTGAACTGCACCCTTTTCCTGATGGATGCTGTTGCAATCGAATCTCATCGCCAGTCAATACAAAACAACCAAAGCATGCCCCTCTCGTTGCGAAGGCTCAGGACGATCCACCTCCACTGAAGGCACGACAAGCTTGCCATGGCCCACCCAATTGTAGAACAGAGTGCAGCAGCTCGTGTCAGCATATCGTAGGAACGGCAGTGCTGTTTTGCTATGTTGGAGGGCTCTGTGGATAGTTTTCAATGTGGCACTTATAAAAGTTTGTTGTAGCCAAAATTACTGACTCGCAGATGTCGGCCTCTGTTTGCATGTATTGAATATTGGAGAGGATTTTTGGAACAGATGTTTTATTGAATGGACTGGCAAACATATGACCCTGCCGTTTGTGCCTCTCACGTAACTGCCTCCCTGGGCAGCTGTTTCCTGGAGTTTCAATGTTCTGCTATCTTGCACAGGTAAGTAAGTGGATGGGCGAGAGTGAGAAGCTGGTTGTCCAGCTTTTCAAGGCAGCAAAGGAAAAGGCTCCTTCCATTGTGTTCATTGATGAGGTGAGAAGGCCACAGCATCCTTTCATCTGTGCCGGATGTAGACCATCAAGTACGGGTGCAGGGCTGTTTTGGCCGTTTGATAGGTTTGGTGCAGTTCAATCACCCCCTTGCCCTGCACATGAGTGGCACTAGTTTTTTGGCCATATCCACACATCACCACGGTCTCTGTTCATGGATAGCTTGTAAGTTTTCTCACTTTGAGAATTGAATAAGATCGATTGCTGTAGTGAATAAAGTCAATGCACTGGGGTGTTTTCTGATGGAACTGTGCATCGCTTCTTGGCTGTGGACAACTCTGAGCTCCAGCACCGCGCCTGCCTCTAGCATCTACTGGTTGCTCTCAGGTTGCCCAGCTTTTCCTCATTACCAGTATGGTACATCCACAGATCGACTCTCTGGGAGCTGCCAGAGGGGATAGTGAAAGTGAAGCAGCTCGTCGGATCAAGACACAACTGCTGATTGAGATCACAGCTGTGAAGGAAAGCTCAGAACGGGTGTTGATTCTGGGGGCCACGAACTTGCCATATATGCTGGACAATGCTTTGAGAAGACGGTTCGACAAGGTAATGGTCAGGGAGCATTGCACTCTGGCAATTTCATACTTCACGCAGCTGGCTATGGTTTGAGTGTATTGGCATTGGATTGCGGTGCCTCCTCACACTATGAGTGTTCCTTTTGCATTGGTTTGTCACACTGTGCATGTCTGCCATGTGGCCAATCTGGCATATTTTGTGCTACGGTGATTGGGAAAATTGGCAAAGACTTGGCTGTGGTTTTATGGACGCTGTTGTGCAGTTGGGAGTGGATGTGAGTCATTCAGTCAGCTCAGCTAGCGTCACTTTTTGGCCTAATCCCTGTGTCCTCAAGCTTTTATTCAGTTTTCCATACTTTGTTTCTGCTCCCTGCCCACAACATGCTTCCCCTCTGTGCAACCTGCACTGCATGCAAGAAGCCATTTTCTGCAACCAGTTAGCGATGCAGGGATGCCTCTGTATTACACATGTATGGTGGCCGTCACTGTGCCCATGTGCTGTGGGAACCAGGCCTTGCTTCCCAGGCACATAAGGACCTCTCAGCTGTGAAAATAGTCTGCTATCATATTGAGCTGGCTGCTTGGTGTCGATGCAGCGAATCTACATTGCCCTGCCTGAGCAGCACGCCCGGGCGCACATGTTCAAAGTGCACCTCGGTGACACGCCACACAACCTAACTGAGAAGGAATTCCAGGCTTTGGCAGCCAAGACGGAAGGGTTCTCGGGGTCTGACATTGCCGTCGTTGTCAAGGGCGTGCTCATGGAGCCAATAAAAGTAGTGCAGGGAAGCCAGCACTTCAAACGGACGAGGGATGCTGATGGACAGATGAAGTACACGCCCTGCGCCCCGGATGACACAGGCGCCGAGGAGAAGAACTTGCAGTGGTTTATGGAGAACGACCCTGACAGCGTGCTGCCTCCGCCCATTACCTATCGTGATTTTGAAAAGGTGCTGCTCAAAGCACGGCCAACTGTGAGCCCCAAGGATCTGGGTATCTTCCAACAATTCACTGAAGAATTTGGAGAAGAATCTTGAGCCACGGGGGTTCTCAGGCTGGGAATGTGGAATCAGCATGGCCCGCTGCAAAGGTGGCTGAAGTATGGTCCTCACTGAACTGTGCTGATGTTCGGTCACTTTCGTGGTAACAGCAGCTGTCGGTGGTGCATTTTGTATGCTGCGGGCTGTAGTGGTGCCAGAATTCACAATTACACAGGCAGTGGCAACATGGGTCTCAGTGCTGGGACACCCCGGCACTCGAGAAGCACTCTGGAGCGACCAGGCTGCCATGCGGGCTATTTGGTTTAGCACGGGCGGATTCGAATGGCCCCAGAGTATGGAAGACCTGTTTGATGGACGTGAGCTGCGAACCACAGGAGATGAAGCAGCCGCGGCTGCCCTCCTCTTTTGGCCAAAGCAAAAGACGTGGGTAGGTCGCATTTACTCAGGTTAGGTATGCGCCATATTGGCCGCCTCGGGAACTCCGTCTTGGGGAATGTGGTGCAGCCCAACACAAGGAATTGCAGGGCCGCTTGAGATAGCGAAACGAAGTGGAAGGCCTTCCCTCCCCTAGATCTGTTGGCTGAAATTCAAAATTGACTGTGGGGTGGGGTAAACTGTCCGTAGCATAGCAGGGTCGGACTGCAGTTGGTGGAGCAGACCCAAATGGAGCTGGTGCTGTTCATTCAACAGCTGGTGTTCAGCGAATTTCAAACGGATAGCATGAATTTCAAGTGGATAGCCTGGATGTCCAGAAAAAGGGTGTCCCCACAGAGGTGGGCGCAATCCTAATCATTGTCCAGGGCCACGGGTATGACATTGGGCCTGCACAGTGCTGTGGTATGTGCAACTCCCCTGCTCCTTGGCATTGCCAACAGCCAAACTGAGGAATCAGCGTGAAGACTGCGCGTCTGCTCTAATCACAACGCCATGTCCTTGACTAACAAATTTTCAAGGAGACCGCACTGGGGATTCAGTATTTGCTTTTCTGGCAAATCTTGTCTGCATAGGTAGTCAGTCTAGATGTACAAAAACGAATGCGCATATAACCCTGGCATGGCTATCTTATTGGTTTGTTTGCTTTTCTTCCCTTGCAATGCAAATGAAACCTGTGGTGCTGCTGTCCAAACTGCGCTGGCAAGTTTGCCAGTTGTTCAAATGGGTGTCTCTATTGGGAACTCATCAGGCTGTTCTGTGTTATCCCCGAGATTCCTCACCAAGACCTCATTATTGCTGGCAACACCAGCGGGCGCATTTTCTCATTCTAGTTGATAAGACGTACCGTGTTGGATCATCGGACAACAGTGAATCGTGATCACTCAATATAGCACGCTGCGGTCAGAAATGCAAACTCAGTCGTCGTTTAAAGAAAAGAATGTTTCTAAAATTGCCCCGTCTTACCTTGAAGGTTCGTCGTCCATGTCCATCACCCATATCCCAGCACGCAGTGCAGGGAAACAAGCAACCGAACTGCGCATATCTGTTGACAACCAGCTCAACCTGACCAACCAAAACTGGGTTGCACTGCTGCCAGCCGCGACATCGAAACGCCGGGCACAGCTCCCTGACTTCGGCAACCCCATGTCACACCTCGCGCGTGCGGCTGTCAATCCAGCAACCGGGAAGGACGACAGTAACACCAGCCGCACGCCCCGTGCATTTCTAGCAATGCGTGCCTGGACCTCGCCGCCGCCCCAGCGCGCCGCGTTCGCTTCAATTTTCCCCGCCCCTCTCACTCCGTTCCGAACGGTCCGTTCACCCCGCAGCAGGCCAGCGAGCAGCGGCTGGCCTGAGGGCCGGAGTCGCGCCAGTCTCTGTGCAAGGAAATTGCTTCCGCCGTCGACCATCGACGATCCGAGAAGGAAGGAAACATGCGCACGCCACGCCTCGCGGCGCAATTTCTGGTGCTCGTGGAGGCGCTGTTGTGGGCGCTGGCATCGTCGATAGCCACCTTTTCCCAAGGTAAACGCGCCTTGCCCGGTACAGGTCGCCGCCGCTCCAATCATGGCACCAATGTTTGAACCGCTGGAAAGACCGTCTCGGCGGGCGTGCATGGACGTCTGATGCCGCACGCACCTCCGAGAAATCCGTGCTGGTTGATTTGACACCGGCACAGACCCACCTCACCTCACAGCACACCACGTGGGGCCGCGGAGTTGCCGCTGGACACGGCAGACAGCTGCTTCCACACCAACCACGTAGAAAGACGCCATTCTCGTCCCAAACAGAGCGTGGAGTTGTGGATCGCTGTCTCCGGGAGCCACTGAACGTTGTTGACGAACCGACAATGTGCGGCGCCCTCCCTCGCTCCTTGTGTAACAGGGGCTGGGTCCCCTTGTTGCGTACGAAATGTATGCCTGGAGTTCCTCTTGACACCCCACAGCTACGCCCCGCGTTCAGCGAGCGATGCCACGGGATCTGTTGCGCCGACCATTCAGCCCCGAGTGCACAGTAGGTACCCCTTGTCGCTGGGCATCAACCCGGTGGCATGGCCGTTGGCCACCTGGACTCGTTTAGTCATCTGGTGGGAGCACAGTAACTATGTTCTATATCTGTCTTTGCCATCGTCGCCGGGCTCATGGTCTCACGCTCGCACAGTCCACCAACTGCGATATCCAGCAGTGCTCCCAGCGTTAATCAATGGATGCTTGTACCCACCAACGAGCTTCTCCGTCCGCCACCCTGCGATGCCGTGCACTCTGGCCCCAGCAGGTCTAAACAGAATGGATGATGTTGACGTTACTCTTCTTCACGGGATAACCTGTGACTTGTTCCGCATTGCGCAATACGCATGCCAGAGCAACTGTATGTGCCCACTTGCGAAACGAGATGTCGAAGTGCATGAACGCCAGTTGTTCAAAAACTTGGAATTTCGTTGTCAACTCTCAGGCTCCAAGTCGCACTCAGTTGATATTCAAAATTTGAAGAGTCTTGAAACTGAGAACGGTGAGCAACATTTGCACCTGCCTTCGTGTCGCCAGATCCTTGCATTTGTTTTCGCAGCACATCCTGCGTAGTGGGACAGTGTGCCGTTCTGCGTATAGTTCTGTACGCCCACAACCCACCGCGCCCCCGCCACCCCCACCCACCCACTCACTCACCACTCTCCACCACTCGGGTTTGTGAGCAGTTTCAGCCGTGGCTTTTAGGACGTAAACGCGGTGCATTTACGTGAAGTTTGGGGGGTAAGTAGTGGTTGCGTTTTATGCGGAAGAACGTGTGAAAATATGTAAATACATGTCCTGTGTACATAAAGACAGTACTTGGAGACTCGGGGAGTCGGGGCAGTGGCAAATAGACGCACTTTATTGGGCATATAATGATGTTTCATTCGACGGCGTCATTGCCTTTGCTGAGGGTGGGTGCAGGCTGTGTTGCGGCTGCACGAAGGGACGAAGAACTGACCATTGTTGCGGCTTCAACATGTATCCTGGATGTCTCAACGCGCCGCAAAAATGTACAAACATGCCGTCAAAAAAATATTTACCCTATTTCCGTGTAATACATAAACGCAAAAATGGTGACATACACGTAAAGACCAGGCTGAAAAGCGTGGTAGGGGAATAGCAGGTTTTTACATTTGCTTGTGCTTTCAGGGGCTGAAAATGCCATCCACACCTTGCCTAGAGGACTTCAGAGTAGAGCAATGGTGAGAACATTGATGCGCTCAGCTTCCTGCTCAGTTCAAGCGATATCATCTGTTTCTTAAAAGAAACAACGATCTGTGCTGAGTACTTGTGCAGAAACTTGTCAATTGATGGCAGGCTCATGGCACAAGCGCGAACCCACACAGTGAATTCCGTGTACGAATCTACATGTTCTACACAAAAACTGTTGTGGCAATGTTGCCTTCTGACTTGAAACCAATTCATCAAGAAACATGTTCGCAATCAGGATGGAAATGCATTTCAATCTTCCAACCATTTTTGTGGAATGCATTAATATCTGTAGAATTCAGTAGCTCACTCTCTTTCTCCGCTGCTTTCATGATCTATCAGCTACAAGATGGAGGATTGTCACAAAAAGAGCAGGAAAAGCATGACGAGGTGGGGCGCCCAGGTGCAATGAACAGTAGCATATCAGCAGCACAGGTCGTCTGTGTTCCACTTACTGACATCTAATTCCTGACGGCCGAAAACATTTGTAGGCATTCCATTCATTCATCTGATGCATGGAGTCCATTCACGCTGCGCTCGTGTTCAATATCCTCACCATGATTTCCTGTGAGGATGCGTATCTGGATATTTGCACCTTATGTAGACTTTCAAACATCCCTTTGGAAAATGAATTCCTGGCTAAACATTCTTACCACAGCGCATTGAGTAGGACAGCATTGATTTCGGAGCAAGAGTTCGGCGAGTTCCTGCAGATTCTTAGATGACAGTAGTCTCGAGCTCGTCGCGTTTAAACAATGTCTGTATGACTGTACTACCGAATGGTCTCTGATAACATTGCTTCATCATAAAGCGGCGGGTCATCGCTAAACAACGTATCCATTGCTCTAAGATGACAGCTGTTTATTGCTGTACCTGTTGATAACATAAACCAACAACATACACCAGCAGAAAACAGCCTCTTTGCGATGCCAATTGCGACGCCGTTTGACACAAATCGATGCCATCACAGCCACTTTTATGCCATCGCAATCACTGTGACAGCATCACTTTGTGTCAAAATGGCATCGCAGGTGGCATCGCAGACATGCCGTTTTCTACCAGTGATAGCTGCAGTACTTTTGAGATGATACATGATGCTAGCATGAAAGCGCTTTCAATCATTCGATTTACAGACTTTCTACAAAACGGATTGCGCACCTGCGTTGTATCCATTGCAAGGAGTACGTTTAATTATCGAAATTTCGCCACATTGTTACAAGATGTGCTGAAACTCATGCTGATGACTGGAGAACAAACTCACTAGCGACCTTTTTTGTCAACGTTAACTGAGGAGTGATTTGCACTTTGCTTTCTCAATGAGGGATCGTTTATATCCCAAAACATAAAGAATCTGCTGTTGATGTCGCTGTCAATCAAGCTACT